CTCCTCTTTTTTTTAGCTTTTTTAAAATTTTTAAAGTATAAAATTTTAAATTTGCAATTCTTTAAGAAAAGAATGAAATAAAAAATCTAAAAATGTAGTTGTTATTTAAATATTTTAAATGAATAATACACTAACTGAAGAACAACCACATTTAATATCCTGACGGTTCAAAAAAAGCGACGAGGTAAAGAACCGTAAAGAAACCCTCGAAGGAGCTTATATATCGCTCACCTAAAAAAACTAATTACATATCTACATTAACATAAAAAAATTATAACTTATTCTTCAGAACTCAGACTTCCATCTGTCGTTGCATTCATGTAATGCTCCGATTCGAGACGTGGAAACGCATCACACATCTCCATACAAACAATGACGGCCTTGTTTGGGAACAACGTTTTAGATTAGCGTTAGTTGGATAAAATTTTAATGATGTTGATTAATTACGAAAACACTAACACTAAAGGAAATCGTCGGATAGCCTTTTCAAAATGTTAACGCTAATTTCTAAAACTGATGACAAACATGGCGGACATCTCTTGTATGAGCCACCCCATTCAATTACAAAAATTAGAACCCATATCTCATTGCAACATTTTTATTCTAGACCTGCCTAGTAAAAAGCCCATTGCTCTTTTGAGACTACTCCCATTTTATAAGCGTGGGCCGAATTTAATTTGGGTCAGGCCGAACAATTGTGGATCGTGTTAATTCGCAGGGTTAGCAGTATATAAAGCTTAGCTTCGTTCAGCACAGACTGCTCTAGGGTTTCGGCGGGCTTAAGGAAGTGAAAATGGCTCCGAAGAAAGGCGCTAGACCTCCGGCGGCGGTTGCACAGAAGAAGACGGAGAAGGTGGTGAACCCGCTCTTCGAGAAGCGGCCAAAGCAGTTCGGGATCGGAGGGGCATTGCCGCCGAAGAGGGATCTCTCCAGATTCGTCAAATGGCCACAAGTTGTTAACATTCAGAGGAAGAGGAGGATCCTCAAGCAGCGTTTGAAGGTCCCTCCAGCTATCAACCAGTTCTCTAAGACCCTCGACAAGAACCTAGGTCAGCCGATTCCTCCTTTATGATGCGTTTCAGATGTTGAATTTGAATGCTTCTTTTTGACTCATTGTCATTAATTTATTGTGTGTTTAATTTTTTTTTGCATTATACGTTGAGCAGTATCATGTCGAAATGTACTCGTTTTTGCCTTTTCGATTTAAGATCTTAGAATGAATATGAATCTTCATTTCAATTATTTTATTTAATATTCGTATAAAATTTAAATTTTCTATTTTTATGCGTAAAATTTATTTGTTTTAACAAGTAATTTAATCAAACATGCAATGAAGGACGACATGGTATGATTTTGCAAACTGTGAATGACACTAGAATTGTGAAACATAGGGAGTATTTGATTTGAATCATAAATGATGTGATCTTTCATACATTTCAGCGACAAACCTCTTCAAGGTGCTCCTCAAGTACAGGCCCGAGGATAAGGCGGCCAAGAAGGAACGACTTCTTAAGAGGGCACAGGCTGAGAGTGAGGGAAAGGTTCCTGAACTGAAGAAGCCCATTGTTGTCAAGTATGGGCTCAAGCATGTCACCTATCTTATTGAGCAGGTTTGGCTTCTAGAATTGTCAGATTTGTTTTACCCATTAATAATTTAAATTTAGTATCTCATATGACATGTTCATTTCTGTAATTTCAGAATAAAGCTCAATTGGTAGTTATTGCCCATGATGTGGATCCTATTGAGCTGGTTGTCTGGCTTCCAGCTTTGTGCAGGAAAATGGAAATTCCTTATTGCATTGTCAGGGGGAAAGCAAGATTGGGTGCTGTAAGTATTAGAGATTTGGTGTCATCTTTCGCGTAATATTGTCTTGTTCTCACATTGTCTGTTGTGAATTTGTTAATAATTATTTGGCGGGGGAGGGGGTAGTGGTTATGTGATTCAATAGCCTGTTAAAAGATACTTGATTGTGTTGATTTGCTTTTGAGTGTACTATTTTAACCAATGTTACCTCCACCAAAAAACGCAATGGAGGTAATGTTGTTGCCTTGAGTTCCTACGAGGAGGACATTTGATTATTTTACAGTCATTTGTCTAATTATTGAACTACCTAAGTAAATACTCCTTTTGTCCTAAAATAAGGTTATCGTTTGGTTTTGCTGAAAGTTTTACAAAATAAAATTATGTGGTTGAAAGTGATGTCGAGTAGATTGTAAGCCACATAAGGTTTTTCAAAGAAAAAAAATGAGTCCTTTACTGGATGTCCCCGCAAGGTATTGTGCGTCTTTTTCAACATGAGTATTGCCCTTCTCAATCTATAAATAAAATAGTTTAAGGTGTTCCTGATGCATTCTCACCTTTCATTTCAAAGCATAATCCCATTTCTTAAAGTAAACATATGTACTGCAACCCAAATACCCCTTGAGATGGTCACATGGCCATGCAGTTTGACGGTTAAGAACGAATAATATTCAAACCAACCGTTTTATGTATATCCTTGTGTTCTGATGGTGTTGTTATTATACTCTTCTCAGATTGTCCACAAGAAGACTGCATCAGTTTTATGTCTGACCTCAGTCAAGAACGAGGACAAGATGGAATTCTCCAAGATTTTGGAAGCCATTAAGGTGGGAACTGTTGAAATTACTGGAATGCCTAAGACTTTCAGACTTTTTTTATAATAAAAAATTATTTGAGGATATCATTTCATATTCTGTTTTCAGGCCAACTTCAATGATAAGTTTGAAGAGAACCGCAAGAAGTGGGGAGGTGGAATCATGGGCTCAAAATCGCAAGCCAAGACAAAGGCAAAGGAGAAGCTTCTTCAAAAGGAAGCTGCTCAGAGATTGACCTGAGTATAATCTTTTCTCTTAGTGTTTTTATGAAGTTGAAGTTTTGCTGTTATTCAGACACTGAAACCCAACCATCTTTTCTTTCCCTTGTCTAAGCAATGTTATATTTTGTTGTTGTTCCATTGTCCTCTAAATTCTGCATACTAAGTATATTGACTTGCTTATGTTTGTGCCTATTTTGTCTTGCTTACGATTTCATGCTCATCTTCTGTGTTACCTTTGTGCCTGGGATCTGACATCGTCTCTTTCATGACATATCTATTCTCAAGCCTTTATTTTGGAGGATATTGTGCGAAGTTTCTATCTTTAGAACTAGAATGTGTTTTTGAAAGTGAACCAGAACTTAAATGATTTTTTCAATCAAATACGTAGTTACTCTGAACGCTCGTTAAAAAATGAAAGATTGTTAAGAAAAATGAAAGCTCATTTTTGGGAATTTGAGCATATAATCTTATTGCAATTTATGTTCTAGTATTTGTCTGCCAAAGCAGTAGGCACAAGATGTCTATTGCTCAGTCTGAATTGGCATATCATCGGTCTTAGAATCTGGTTCGTTTTGTTTGGCTTTCTGTCTCAATTTAACGCGCAAGTGATTGTTTACAATATTTTATTGAAATTATTTTTCTGATTTTTTTAAAAGTTGTGTAGAATTTAAAAATAAAATTTGTATACTCAAAATTATTCTGTAAATTAAAGTTTTAAGAGGTGATATAATTATAATGTTTAATCAAGTGAGTATATAAATGGATAGAGAAAGTGATTAAAAGTGAAGTTTGTGAATAGTAAATATGAATTATAAGTTGAGATGAAGGTAGCACTCTCTCCGTTTGAAAAAAGTGTTCCTCTTTTGATTTTGTAAAACAAAGAAAGTGTTAAATTGTAATTGATTTCTAATTTTGCCCTTGATGTGATAGGTAAAAATAAGATGTGATGGATAGATTATTAGAGAAAAAGTATGATGTGATAGGTAGAGTATGAAAAAGTAAGAATAAAAGTGGTTTTTTAATAGAAAGTGGAAGTATATTGTTGGAAGTGAAAAAAATGAAAGAGGAAGTGTTTTTGAGAACGGAGAGAGTATTCTTTATCAGTATAGATTGGACACTTGTAACTTGTAAGGTTCATGTTTGGGCATGCTCCTTATTCAACACCCTTGTTGAAGACACATCACTAATTTCAATTTTTTATTAAACTTCAAATAGTTATGCTCTTGAGATTGTTAGTACTAATAATAAAATGGCATTAATGGGATACTCTTGGGCATTTAATGAAAAATACACGACATAGAGGTAAATACTTTAGGCTTAGAGTCTATTAGAATTTTAATTATCTGAGAAATGGTTTGAGATTGAAACTTGTGCTTCTACAGTCACTCAAAAAGAGTCACTACGGAAGTCACTCAACCAACTAAGACACCCACAACATACCTAGTTTACAAAATTAATAATTCCTACATCTTCTAACCTTTCCGGTAAATCCCCTATTCGATCCCAACCCCAACTTGCTCTCCCAACAGCGTCAATTGCGGGATGTAAGTTTATTTGACTTTGAAATTTGAATTTTGACAACATCGATAAAGGATAACAACTAGTCATTGCATGTACTAGAGGGAAAGATCATATTCCAATTCCATTCCTCTTAGTTGTTAAACTAAGATTATTTATCTTGTGTATACGAGAAACCATATAGATGGGATTTTTTTTTCTTTTTACAGATTCTTCCAACAATTTTGCGCTCAATGATATAAGTCGGTTAAGTTTTAATTCAATTTGATAAAAATTATATTTAAATCTATTTCACTTCTGATCTGATATGATATGATTTCAATAAAAATAAGAAAATATTGAAAAGAACAAGTTCTAAGCTTCTCTGTACAAGACACTATATTTACTTTTCTGTTCTAAAACATTTAACTACGGAGTTTTTTTCAATTACACAACTTCTCTCGTTCTACTGTATTTGTCCAATTTGATTATTTGAGTCAAACTGAACAAAATTTGAATGAGATATTCTTTTTTCATCAAAGAGTAAAAAAAGGGGTAAATTCTTTTACCGGAAGAATATATTCATATGACAATTTACCTCATCAATTAACCACCAATACATTATCCAGAGGTCCATATATATACCAAGGGATTAATCTTTAACTCTTCATTAATTATACGTAAAAAAAAAAACTCTTTCATTATTTACACACTGAAACCACATTAGAAAAGCGTAACATGGATTTCCTTAGGAAAAAGAAGCCGACCCCGCAAGGCGGGAAGCAGCGCAGGGACGGCTGGGAGAAGCCAATCTCCAACGGCGAAGAAGACTATTCCGCCGCCGCCGCCGCCGTGCAGCAGCAGAAGCACAAGCCGGACCCCCGCCGCGATCGTAAGGATAAGGCTGCTCCGGACGCCTCCAAGTTTGTTGGAAAGACGGCGGCGGTGATGACCCAGCAGGACCGTCGCGTCGATCTCCCTGCTGTCAGCGAGCGGCGCATCGCCTCCACGGCCACGGCGGTGTCTGCGGCTGTTTATTTTTCCGACGAACTTGCCGGCGATCCTTCTATCGATCATAAAGCCGAGGCTTACATTGCCTCATTCCGGAACAAGCTTAAAAATCAAAACGAGTGATGGAATGAAAGATACTATTGTTTATTATTACTCTGTACTTGTGGGTATGTAACATTATTAATAAATAAAGAAAATGGTAATGGTTTTCTTAAGAAACAAAAAAAAAATGTTTTTTTTGTTTCTTAAGCATTAACATTTTCCTACTAATTAATACTCCATAATAAACAATGAAATAAAAGTGTTTATAATCATGTGACTAAGAGCAAATTAAATATTAAGAAATTAATTAGAAATGGTTTTACTTTGGTTATTCTTTCATGATGATTATCAATGAAAGAAGCCACCATTTCTAATTAATTTTTTAAAAAACATGTATGCCATTAAGCTAGGTCACATGATAAAAAAAGAAGAGAAAAAGAAAATATATGCTCTTGTACGTAATGAATATTATTTGCCGACTTCGTATCATTCATCTGTTACTATGATACTCGCTCTGTCTTAAAATTATTTTCGCAGTTACAATTCAGGTAGTTAAACTTTAATGAATTTTTTTATTATTTTCGTTAATTATCTGATAAAATAATATAGTCTTATCACTTCTTATTTTAATTTATGGAACTTTTAAATTAGTTTTTAAATATACAAATTTTATTTTTTAATTTTACATCTACAATCAATTATATTAAATTAAATTGAAAACCCGTCTTTAGTATAATAATTGTGTTGATAATTATTCGGGAATGGGTGTACTTTGTCATGCTACTACCCATATGATCTTTGATATTTCAGATTGAACATCGAATTTTCGGGAAAAAAGATAACTAGTGTGCGCAAAAAAGTACGGAGTATTATTTTTTATCTTTAAGTTAGTCAAAACTGTTGGGTTTTTATAGTAGGGAGGTTTCCATATTTAGTTCTTTTTTTATCAAATATTACCCTCATAGTCCTTTTTTAAGGGTGTCTTTCCACAAATGGTCCTTTTTTGATCTTCCGCCATGTGGGTGTTAAATTAAAGGCTAAAAGTATAATTTGACATCAACATTATGTCTAATGACGTGTTCTGATATTGGTTAAGCGGATAACACAAAAATAATGACTATGATTGTCGGCTAGGATTCCGACGGAAGACCACATTTGTAGACTATGATTGTAGTAGAAAACGAATGTAATTCGCAAACGGCAGAAACGGAACAACCTTAACCTTGTAAATTGCGTATGACAAAAAAGATATATTATCATTGTGAAATTTCAGTTTTAGCCCTCAAATTAACATCAACGTGATAAAAGATAAAAAAAGGACTATTTGTGGAAATGTACCCATAAAAAGAACCACTGAGGTAATATTTGATAATAGAGGACTAAATAGGGAAACCCTCATGATGTAAAGACCAATTATGGAATTTACTCAAATTGCTTATAAACTATTTTTAATTTAAAAGTTAGCTGATCATTATTTTTTTTCTTCTTATAAGCTTAGAAACTTAAACTTGTATATTCAACTCGATATTCATGTCCGCTGCTCCGCCGTTCATCACCACCATCTGTCAACTCGATATTTCCGACCGATGACACTGCTCCGCCGTCCACCACCACCCTCCGCCAGCTCGATATTTTTGTCTGTTGATTTGTTTTTTTATTCGTCTAATTTTTGGAGGTGCAGTTTGTTTTACTTGCACGTAGGTACGTAACAAAATTGATGAATAAGGAGGCAACCCTGAAGAGTGAAGAGCATCGAGGACAAGAGGATGTCTTGATACAAGACTTTGGAGTTAGAGTGTTAGACTAATTAATACAGTATTTTAGTTTGAATCTACTCCCTCCGTCCCATAAAGATGGGTGCGTTTTGACTAAAGTAGAAATTAAGGGAGAGATAATTTTGTGTTGACTTTCCAAAAATACCCTTGATGTGATGGGTAAAAGTATGATGTGATGTGTAGATTATTAGAAAAAAAGTATGATGTGATAGGTAATAAGGTTTGAAAAAGTTAGGGGTAAAGTGGTTTTTTAATAGAAATGGGTAAGGGATTGTAGGACGCAATTTTTTTGAAACGTGTAAATCTTTTTGGGACGGAAGGAGTATTATATTTTTGGACAAGAATCCAAAGTTATATTTTGAATTATGTACTTAAGTTTTTACACCGTTTATATTATTACTTTGATGAATATTTAAATATTGTTTTTGAATTAAGTATTTTAAATTATTTTGAAAATAATTGTATTTCGATGTCAATCTAGTAAGTAGTAACAATCCGGTTTTCTAACCTATGTATATTTTGAATTATGTACTTAAGTTTGAATCTTGTAATGTTTTAGTTTGAATCTATTATATTTTTGGACAATAATCCAAAGTTATATTTTGAATTATGCACTTAAGCTTTTACACCATTTATATTATTACTTTGATGAATATTTAAATATTGTTTTTGAATTAAGTATTTTAAATTATTTTGAAAATAATTGTGTTTGGATGTCAATCTAGTAACATTCCTGGTTTTTTCTAACCTATGTATTCCGGTAACACGGGTTAATTGGTGTGTTACATAACTCAGGTGTAAATGCTGTGATACATGACTTTAGATGAATATATATTTGCACTGCGGCACGACCGTGATATTAACACACTTTCAAATTAAATCTAGCACAGAGTGACTAGTGATACAACATTTTTAATTGTTTAGAGATCATCCGGATCATTCGTACAATTTTTAGGTTTAAGAAGAATTCACGGTTTTGTAGAAAGTTTAATTTAGAATTAAATGACACAAAAAACTCGTTTATGCTAGCTTGTTCTCCCCCATCCCAACGTTAGTTGTCGCCAAACTATTCACAATATCAAAGTTCATTCACTTGTTTCTGTAGTTTTTAAATATACTCGCTCCGTCTCAGAAAACCATTTTCCTTTCTTTTTTAATCCGTCCCAAAAAACATTTCTCATTTCTATTACGGAGTAAAAAGTAACTTTTACCCCTTACTTTTTCATACCCTACTATCACATCATACCTTTTTACTAATAATCTATCTATTAAATCATACTTTTACCCATCACATCAAATGACATTTTTGGAAATTCAATACCAAAATACACTCCCCTTAAATCCCTCTCCAAAACCAAAACTCCCATGTTTTCTGGGATGGAGGGAGTATAATTTTATTTTTAAATTTTACACCATTTTAAATATAAAATGATTTGGAAACAAATTCAGCTAAACATCTGCTAAGCATTTAAGACCGAAAGAGTAATACTTCCTCCGTTCCTAAAAGAGTTACCTTCTTTGATCAACGCGCAAAACTTCATGACTTTTAAAATAATTATATTTACAAATTGGTAAATAAATAAAAATAAAATTTTTATATTTAAAAAGCACATCAAAAAATCTAAAAAAAAGATGTAAAAAAATATCTTATTTTATCAAACAATCAATGAAAATACGGATATAAATATAAATTATCAAAAACCTAGAGATAATTCTATCTAGGGAGGGAGGAGTAGGGAGAAGCTTCCATTGACCGAATATTAGTCAATAACTAAAGACGGGTCTTCCGGAAAACGTAAGTCACAAGTTATTCGGTTCTCCCTAATCCCTATCATATTTATTACCGGAGTAATAAAACACCCCTACCTACAATTCCAAAAGAAATTTTGGACAAAAGAAACTACGTACGCAATTTTCCATCCCAATTAATCCTTTTTGTCTCCAAATAAACTTTAATTACATTTATTGCATTTATTCTATAAAATATAATCAAATTATAGTTTTATCTAATTAATATACTCCGTACCATATAATGTTTTAAAAAAAGTATCACATAATTTTTATTTAATTATAGAAAAAATGTTGAAAGTGGTCGCCTGCAAAAGGATAAAACTAGACGTATCGATTTTTAAGTATATTATGGTGAAATTTAAAAACATTAATGAAAAACTGAAGTATAGATCTAATTAATCCAAATATATGCAGTATAAAAACCCAATGAATTGAACTAGCTTTAGATATAACCAAACGCCGTAAAATGGGGTCGAGCCAGAGCAGGGAAAAAAGGTACCGCAAATATTATACCCTCACCACAACCACCACCACCGCCGCCACTTATGAAACCCGCGCCGCCGCGACGCCCTCGGCCCACTTGACTTTTGGGTATGACGGCGATCAAGTCCACACCCGAGCCACCAATGTCGTCACGGCTGTTGACCGCCGGTCAAACGGCGGAGCTCCCCGTGGCGGCGGTGGTGGCGGCCAGGTTGATCACGAAGACGACGATGAGTACATCGATCTCAAAGCCACCGAATACATCGCAAGGGTGCGGGAAAGGCTGAGGTTGCAAAATGAATCCGAGGATGGATTAGACAACGCGGTTAGGTCGGAGTGGTCTGCCGGTGGTGGTAGCGGCGGCGGCGGCGATATGGTCTCTCCGCCGTGTATTGATGCACAAACCGAGGCCTACATCTCGTCCATTCGCGAAAAACTTCTACTCGAAAATCACTCTAAATAAATTGAACTGAAAATAAAATCAGGCAAGACAATTAATGCCTAATTGAAAACTTTATTGGGTATAACTGTATGAGTACTTGTTTGGTCTAGTATACCTCTCAACAACGTAACACTGTAACTAAAATGTGAAAGGCATGCACATTATTATGAAAGGCATTATAGTCATCCATCCTAATCTCATTTCTTTTTTGGTACACAAAATTGTCGTCCAAATATGTGATCAAGTTTCCTCAAAACAAAAAAAGAATGTGAACAACTTTTAATTTGCCTCATTTCTTTTCCTTTTATCGAATACTTAACAATGATTTTCAATTTTTAATTTTAATTATGAATGAGAATAGCTTTAGGTAATGTTTGAAAACTAGAAACCATTTGAAAATTTAGATTTCAAGTCTAATATTTGATATCTCATAATTTCAAATAATTCCAAATGTTGCTTGGGAACTCATAAAATTTTATTTCTTGAATTTGAATTTTGATGTCGACGAAGACGGTAACGGAAGCCGAATAATGATATGTATGAGATGTTGTTGAAGAAAGAGAGATTACTCCTTCATTACAAGTTATAAATTTAAAAAAGTTTGAACTTGAATATGTAATTAACATAAAAAGAGAGATGGATTTGTAATTAACTTAATTTGAATTTTAAAGAACTTTTGGTCAATATCCAAATTCAAATTTTTTCAGTTCTCAAACGAGTAATTTGGATTAAATCTAGATTTGAAATCTAAATTCAAGTTCTCAAACATAATACTCCCTCCGTTTCTAAAAACCATTCCTCTTTCATTTTTTTTGTTTTTCTTAAAAAACTTCTCTTTTCTTTTAAAAAATCATTTTTACCCCTACTTTTTCATACTCTACCTATCACATCATACTTTTTCACTAACAGCTAAACTATCACATCTTACTTTTACCCATCACATCAAGGGCAAAATTGGAAAGTCAATTACAATTTAACACTTCCTTATTTTTCCCCAAAGTCAAAAGAGGAACCGTTTTGAAAACGGAGGGAGTATTATATTTTTCAAAAACAACTACTCGATCGTATGTTTAGCTATCTTGTAACTTTAAAAATTATATACGTGAGACAATTAACGAATTAAAGAAATACAAAACGAATTAATCCATATAAGTGTACAATTAAGTTGTGTACTAAGGAAACAAAAAATAATAAAATAGAAAAGATGCTCCGTATATATAGCAGCATAAAAGCTTGGTTTCACTAGCTTGCAAAAGCATATACTAAAACTATATTCTTTTCTTCAATTATAAATGAACAAATTAAATAAATAAATCTCCGTCGTCACATTTAAGATACGAACGTAAAAAAGCAAAATCCACTTATAACTCAAACACGCCATTCTTTATTCCTCCACCCCATCTTCTTCTCACCTAAGCCACTAGTAATTAGTACTTCTCCGTAATTACATATGCACCCAGAGATTTTTTTTTAACCGCAAGATTTTTTTGACATTAGAAAAAAATGACTCCAAAATGGCACTTAGATTTTGGGTGCATAGAATACTTTGTTAATAAAATTGATGGTCTCTACTTCTTAATTCCCTTCTAAACCCCAACTCAACCTTCCTATCCTCCCTCGGAAAAAGGGGCAAGAGGATGGGTCCAAAGTTAGAAAAAAGGTAGAATTATCAATTTTACCATTGGAGTACCGTAGGTGTTGGAGTCATTGTCGAGTCACTTTTTTTGGAGGTAAAAAAATCATGGCTCTATTTTTAAAATTATTTCTCACATGCACCCTCTTTTGCTTTTCGCTTCATTTAATTTTAAGCATATTTTATACGTAGTAAAAGTTTTTTTTGAAGGGTTATAAAAGTTACAAATGGTGTAGCTAAAATTTATTTCAAAGTGATTTATTCAAAGTTTAAAAACATAATTGCCTTGGGACGATTGCGAACCAAAAATCTTGAAAATACACACCATTCTCTCCAAAATAAGTCTCTTGTTTTGCTCTATGAAATTTAGCTCAAGTTGTTTTCAATTCAATAATGAAAAATATGTTTATAAAAAAAGATAATAATGTCTAGGGAGAAGAATAATGTCCTAGTAATGTTGGACATTTAGTTGAATAATGACTAATAGATAATGATCGATGATCCTACATTGGAAAATAAAAACATATGGTCCTATATTAGAAAGTCATTATATTTTAGTCTTATTTAAGTAAATTACCCATCAAATCTTTGGACGAAGAGAGTATCATGAAACGTTTACATCTAGTAAAAGATTAACAATATGGAAATTTGATTCAAATTTTTCTTAATTATCGTTAACAGTGATCGTGAAATGACCACAGTACCCCTGACGCAGTATTTGAGATTCTCCATAACCATTTATTTATCTCCTATAGCCTGCACCTTGGATTGGTATGTAGTATGTATATATATATATATATATATATATATATATATATATATATATATATATATATTTATATATATAGCTTACGTACGTAACATGCATAACATATCTGCTTGCTTTGAAACAACTTTTGTTTTTGGGGGTTTATTTGTGTTTTGTTTATCAATCGGGAGACAACAAACTCAGCTTGTTACGTTAAGTACGTAATTGTTGTAGTTGTTCGTGTATTATTATGGGCGCGCAAGAAATTTATTGAGGAGAACGAAAAGATCAGCTAGAGGTTAATTAGCTGTTTTTTTTGTTATATATATAAATATTGACGAGGCGCCGACGTAGGGACGAGGTAGGGCGAGCGGGTAGCTGCTAGGATGAATGTGGACTGGGGGCCGGTGGTGGTGGCGGTGGCGATGTTCATACTGCTGTCGCCGGGATTACTGTTCCAGTTGCCGGCGAGGAGGAGCTGCGTGGAGTTCGGGAACATGTACACCAGCGGCATCTCCATCTTGGTTCATGCCATCTTGTACTTCTGTATCTACACCCTCCTCACCGTTGGTCTTGGCATTCACATCCGCTACACCGTTTGATTTTTTATTTTATATATATATATATATATATATATATATATATATATATATATATATATATATATATATATATATATATATTTGAATACATTCCACAATTCAGTCTATGCACTATGGGGTATTTATCACTATTAGTAATCATTTATATGTATGCATGGTTCGTAGTCTTATAGTTATAAATATATATAATCGTCTCACAATTATCTTTCTGTTTTTGTTTTTGTTATCAAAAGTTTCTAATTTTTACCATTGCATATATAGAAAAAATATACATAGTTATGATATAAATTTAATACTATCAATATTGAAATTAAGTTTTAAAATATCATATTTTTATAGTACATATATTGAGATGTTAATAGTCAAAATATTGAATTGGGGATCATGAAAAGGCAAACATGAAGAAAGTTATGGGAGAGAGGGAGAATATATACATAAGTTTTGAATGATTACTATCGTAATGCTTGTTGAAGGAAATGCTCAATCTTGATATTGGAAACCATTCGCGCGGTATATATATATATATATATATATATATATATATATATATATATATATATATATATATATATATATATATTGGGATCACTCTAATGCTACAAGTTTTTTAATTAAATAGATGTAGGTTAATGAAAATATATACTCCGTAACATGTTAGTGATCAAACTCGAAAAAGTTAAACAAAATGAATATTTTGAGGGTGTACAAAACAAGCAAACTTGCTCATTAAAGAGGAAGTTGATCTTTAGAATAAAGCACGGATCGGACATGAAGCTTATTCACGTGTTTACTTCATCCTGATGATGCAAATTGGATGGTCCTTCGTGCGTTTTTAGCTTGCAGACTAAAATTTCTAATATTATTGTCCAATAAAGAGAAACAGATCATAGAATCTCATCCATATATCATTTCATCCAACTAAATACTGGAGTAACTAATAGCCCCTCCTCACCAATTTTACTTGGAATCTGCTCGTACTATGTGTAGAAAATCAAAGGTGAGCTACTAATTAAGAGAAGTGATGTAGTATTGTAATTTTTGGCTAACCGAAATCTAGAACTAATTGAATAATTGATCATCTTATATCTAAAGATATCTGACTAATAGGTTTTGGAAGTGGAAACAATATATGGTCAATGTAAAACAAATGTGTTTTAGAGAGATTTTGGCATGTCAAAATGGTGGAATTTAATATTCTTCCATTGACAAGTTCGGAACTTTTGTTTGGGTTATTAATTTTTTTTACATAATACCATAACCTTGTTGATCAAAAGTTCTAACCTAACCACCATCAAAACAAGGTGAAAGAGTGTGTGTAGCAATAACTTGACATTGAAAACCATGGGATGTATGGACAATGAAGTACTCAAAGGAGTTTGATTGGCAATAAAACAAATCCATTCGATTTTTTTATGCAATAGATGAATCTAAAAACACTAGATTAGGCTTGACAACAAGCATTTGCTCCGGCATATTAGTGCATTTGCATTTACAAGTACATGTTTTAACCATCTCCAGTTTAATTACCCACGGTAAACACCTTATTAAAATGTGGGAAAATTTGGACTTCCATGTGGATATTGTGCCCTGAGAAAAGACTGGTTGGACTGCGTTGGATGGTTAAATTCGGGTTAAGGTCACTTCACAACCATATCTCTCACTCAAAAATTTAACCGGTCAATCCAATGTAATGCAAGGAATAGAATCAAGAATGAAGTGGAAAGAATAAGGGAAAAAAACAAGTAATAGAAAAACCAGCCGCTGAATCTCTTATCTGTGCCATAGTAAGATACAGGCTAAACAGTGATCATCAAATTCATCAGTCGATTTGAATCAAAACTGAAATATTAGTAGTAACCAAGACAAACAAAACACATTCGAAACCAAAGTATCATCTGACACCTAGAAGCATGCCAATTTTCTTCAATTGTTTTTGTTGACATTTCCATCATGAAACACAAACCCCAATAGACACTAGTATCCAGATCCTTCATGCATAGTTCAAGCGGAATATGTCATTGTGCACGTAAAAACTTCCATTGGGTGTTGGCATCAAGTGAAACATCTGTAAGTCCAATGCAAACATATATATAAAAAGAAGAATGAGTTTGGATAGAGACCATGTAAATCACAAGTCTGAAATATGACATAGAGACAGCCCTTGTAGGGCGAAAAAATATTTTGATTTCAACACACATGCAAATCCCGCAACCAAACAAGCCTCAAAAGTAACCTTTGGGAAGAATAAGGAATTGGGAAGATAAGTTTGTAGCTAAGATGCAATACCACATGAAATTTGAAGAAAAAGATTCAGGCAATAGCGTAATACCACATGTAACTCACGTTCCCCATTTCACAAGGGGATTTTCTTCTTCAGAAAAGGGAGTCCATAGTACTAGGATTCTAGATTATGCTTTGATACTAATTCAATTTAAAAATTGTGTTCCGACCCCAAAGACAAACTGACGTCATTTCAACCCCCTTTTAACATCAAAACCAGAGTGTTGGTAGGGCAATGAAGATAGCCTATGAACAGAAGTTTGATGTTACATAAATGGGGATTTTGTAGTTGGTTCGTGGTCACACCTTGTTGTAATGTGAACCCGTGACAAAAGTAGATAACGTCTTCTAGAAGAGACCAAGGGAGAGACAGACCATGCAGGAAGTGAGATGAGGAATTGAGGAAGGACATGACGGTCTTAGCCCAAACTTAAAGGCCATTAAAGTAGAGGCCATGTATTAGGAAACAAGCACTCTGGCCTTTAAAGTATGGGTAAAAAAGTTTGTGAAATGTTGAACAGACCATACTATAGAGTGTGATATATGTAGATGAAAATTTCTATCCTAGCTTTAGTAAGATAAAATCTGTACTACGATGCCAAACAATCCCACAGAGCATAAGTATGCCTCCTAGAATTAACCAAAGAAATATCTCAACTCTAAAACATGATACCAGAACTTCCATACATTACACATAATGAGATATACAATAGGCAAAGGAAACACAAACTTTAAAAAAATTATAGATAACTTCAGGCCATTAGATCTCTGGTTTTATACCCAATGAAACAAATCAGAATGTAGTTTATATTCCTAAAGCATTTCCCAGCACTTGCTGTATAGATTTATTAAATTAATCATCTCAAATTAGTTTCAAGTTATAAAGGACGCATGATCACATGAGTTCATATTCGGAAGAGATCAAAATTGTGCCATTAAAAAAAGTGAAGTGACAGTTAGAAATGAGACCGAACAGAAATCTGAACATTTTTTATCATCAATAACAGATCTGAAATCTCATCCAAAATCAGCAGCATCCAAACAAAGATCAGCGCTTCTCCTAATGAAATAGATCTCGGAATTTCAATTTTAAGGACAAGAGAATCGATGCGAAAGACGTCGTCACAAACAAATCGATCAACGAAAATTCGAATTACACAACTTAAACAAAACAGAAAAAAGGCACCGGAGATAGATTGATCGGATACCTGGCTGAACTTGAGGGCGTGCTGCTCGCCGGCGAGTTGGAGGCTGCCACTGACGAAGACGATGAAGCCGCCTTGAGTGACAGATGGCTGGCAGTCGACGGTGGTGACGTTGTGCTTGCACTGCTGGAAGGGGAGGCCGGTGAGCTTGCTGACGATGTTGGCGGAGCCGAGAATCTTCTGGCCCTCGAATGTCAACATGGAGCCTTCCTGGTAGAGACCGGCCAGATTGGCGCGATTGGAGTCGAAGGTGGAGTAGTAGTGCTCGACAAACGCCTTCGCCAGTGCGTCCGGATCCATTCTCGCGATCTCGATCGATCTGATCTCTCCGCAAAATCTCAGTCTGAGCTTTTCGCTCTCTCTTCTTTTATGGATCGACGTTTGCGGCAACTTTACGCTAAGGTTAGGCTGCCAATCCCCCTGGGCTCTGATATAAAACCCTTGAACGTTACCCCACTACATTTTATTAAATGGGCTAAGACCGGAAGACCCGCTTCCAAACTTTTGGGGTACAAAATCGTTTTAATTTTTTGATATATTCTTTTTTACACTAATGATATTTACTTCAGTCTTTGTTTGGATGATAAGAGAAAATGAAAGAAGAGAAAATGAAAGGAGAGAAAATAAAGAGAAAGAAAATGAAGAGAAAAGTGAAAGAAAATATTTGTTGTTTGGATAACTAGAAAATGAGAGGAAAAGTGGAAGAAAAGAAAATACACACTACAAGAATTTATCTGGTCTGAAACGAAAATTTGCTACGGACACATATCTGTAGCAGATCTGCAACAAATCTGCGACGGAGTAATAATTTCTGAAAAAGAAACACTATCTGCGACGGAACTTTTGTTTTTGTCGCAGATCTGCTACGGAATAAAGTGAGGTAAACATTTCGTGTAATCTGCAACGGAATCTGCAACGGACTTATTTCCGTTGCAGATAATTAATTAAAATCGGGTTATCCTCTTTTAGATCTGTAGACGAAATCAGTTCACAGATCCAGACATCCAGACCCAGCCATCTTCCGTCCACCCAACTTCGACCGACACATCTCCTCCGCGGCTTTCCTAGACCGCTGGCTGCCGTCGCACGGTTTGTTGACGTCGTGGCGCTCGTCCTCCTTGCCTCGCCGTCGACCGCGCAGCCAGTGTCTCCCTCCTTGCCTCGCCTTCGACAGCCAGTGTCTCCCTCCCTCCTCGCCGCCGCTGCCAGTGTCTCGACCGCCATCTTCCCCCACCTGACATCCTCTTCCTCTCAAGGTATTTTAGTTTAATTTTATACAATTTATTATTATTGTAATTTTTTGTGAAATTGAATTTGTTTGTGTGAAATTTAGTGCATTTTTTATGAAATTTAATTGAAATTGTGTGAATATGAGTTTAAATTGATATGAAATTGGGTAAAAATTGCATTAGTTTTTTTGTGAATTTGATAGCACTTAAGCTGTAATTTTTGTTGAAATTGTGTTAGTTAATTTGTGTTGTTGTCATATGACACTATTTTTGTTGTTGCGGTGATGGTGTTGTTGTTGTCATATGACACGGCTTTTGTTGTTGCGTTGATGGTGTTGTTGTTGTAATATGACACTGCTCTTGTGTTGTTGTTGATGTTGTTCAGTTGCTGTTCATGTTGTTGTTCTTGCTGTTCTTGACGCTATTATTGTTACGTTGTTATTAACTTTCATATATTGCAGGCCCAAATCTTCGAACTGCATGAGGAGGCTTGACAGAATGGGCTTAAAGGCTAGACAGAATGAGCTTGTAACTGACGATTCAGGAGGAGATAAGGAAGTTATATGGTGGTAACCTTCCTCTACGAGGCGATGATGATGGAACGGGAGGGGCAGGGCAGCCCGGGATTTGTTGACACCTTTGACATTTGACACTAACACTTTAATATTTAGTGTTTTTACAATATTATGAATTATGTTACACTTGCACGTGAAGTTTGTATTAATCTAATTTTAAATTATCTATTTCGTATTGTAATCTTATTTAGAATTATGTGTGTGAAAAATTAAATGTGTTTTGCCCGCCATTTTAATAGCTACTGCCTAAAAACAATAAAAATTTGTGTGTGTGATCAGGTGATATGCGACGGCAAAATCTGTCGCTGTTTTTGTTGTAGATCTGCAACGGCTATTTCCGTCGCTATGTCTGTCGCAAATCTGCCACGGATTTTCAATTCCGTCGCAGATTCTTGGGGTTGCAAAAAAAGACGAACCCGTTGCAGGTCCGTCGCAGATCTGCCACGGATTTTTAATTCCGTCGCAGATTTTAAATCTGCCACAACTTTTATGCGACGGAACATTTTCGTTGCAGATTCGTCGCAGAAGTTAAATCTGCCACGGAATTTCAAATTCTGCAACGGAAATTGTCCGTGGCAGATCGGCAGTTTTCTTGTAGTGATAATAAAATGAAAAGGAAAAGCTTTAGACAGTGAAGAATGGAGGAGGCAGCAGTGATCGATTAGGGTTAAAAAGGCAAATGTATAATTTAGTTAATTTTCTCTCCTACTGTGGAGTTTTCTCGCCTATGAGGAGAAGAAAATTTTTCATCTACCCTCCTCATTCTTTTCTTTCCTTCCAATTTCTCTCCATCCAAATAGAGAGGGTTAAATTGGCTTAAGAGTAGTTGAAATGCATATAACGCTGGTGTGCCATGAGACATTTAACGCCACTTGTGCGTTAAACACCTCCGCCCTATGGGCGTTACTCGGGCGTCACAAGCTTGTGTCAAAACTTTGACGCAACTCCCCCCTCCCCCAACGGCTAATTTTGTCGTACGTTACCATTTAAAAAAAATCTTTAATTGTTTTTTCAATTACATCTTACCATTTAGCCGTTACCACTTGTGCGTTCAATATTTTTCACATCTTTCATTTCTTCAATCTCCAATTCTCAATATTCTTTGCATCTTTCATTTTTTCAAGTTTTGTTAACATGAATTCCTCCCGCTTTGGTTTTTTCCCCAACGATCTCGAGCCTAACGAGCATGTCATAGCCCATGTGGATCTTCCAACAATACAGGAGTAATAATTGTTTTAATTATACTTATAATTAATAGTGATAATAATCATTACTAATGATAACACGTAATAATAATAATAATTTATTACAACATTAATTGTAATTACTAAAATAAAAATGATAATAATAATACTCATAAGATTAATTAGTAAATACAATTATAATTATTAATAATGAAATTATTATTGTAAATATTATTGATAATGATCATTAATAATAATTAAAAATGAATTGTTATTATTAGTATAAATTTATTATTATTACTCTAATTGTTTGAACTTGAAATAAATCCATTTATATCAGATCAATTTAGATCAGACCAAATCAAATTTATTAAGATCGGATAAGACCAGCCTTAAAAAGTTTAGATCAGATCCGTCTTAAGTTTTTTGTTTTGTATATCTGACAATCTGTTATTCATTGTGGAAATAAAATGTGTGCAGTGTTTCAAAATATATTTAATCCTTAATTACTACTCCCGCTGTCCCGTTTTAAATTGCCTATTTGCCTTTTTTTTCTGTTCCAAAATAAGTTGTCTGTTACATGTTATCGTAAATTTTTAAGAGTAAAATACATAAGATACCCCTAAAATAAGTCAGTCTTCTCCACCTTATCTTCTCATTCATTGTCACCCCTCCAAAAAAGTAATAGTAATTTCGGAAAATCAACTCTATGTTTTCTCTTCCTTAAATATGTCCAAAAGTAAAAAGAAGAAATTTAAAACGGGACGGATGGAGTAAAAATTACTTCAATTCTTTATTCCAAAAAAAATCTTCACAATGTATTTTTTGGTAAAATGTTAGAAGGTGTAGTTTTGATATACTCTGTATCAAATTTTTATATTTATTAATTTATTTCAAAGTATTTTTATCAATGATCAAAGTGTGACCAAAAATATCAAAACAACAAAGAATAATTTGGAGTTTATTATAGAAAACATCATACATCCAAAGAGATGAATTACTGACTTTTTTATATTGCACATTTTAAGTTTAATATTTCAGCTATGAGTGCTTCTATATAGCATATATTATTTTCGAAGACCTTCGCGCGAATTCTCGCATAAAAAATCTATTTTTTAATTTTTATTAAAAAATGCTTGTTTTGTTCATATATAACCTTAGACCTATCATAGAATTTTTCTTCAACTAAAAGCAAGGGGAAGAATATGGGTTGGACTTTTTATACTTTTAGTTTTTCGTTTCCGTGAGAATAAGACAAGGAATTTCTATTCTCAAAAAAAAAAAAAAGCAGAGAGAGCATGAAAAAAAATAGCAATCGATTTATTTTTGCAACTCAATTAGATATGCAATGCTGTGGACTGTGGGCGGCAAGGCGGCAATAATTTAAGGGAAATTCATGTAAAATAGGACTTAGAGATAATAATTTTTTCTATATAGCATCACATGTATTTTTTTTTAATGTAGTACTTTTAGTCATTATCCATTGGTCATTATTCAAATAAATATTCAATATCACTGAACATTATGAACATTATTAAGTTTTATTTAGAGAATAATACAATTTAAGTGTTATTTAGGGAAATGACGTGAATTTAGTGCTATTTAGTGCAAATATTCCATAATCTTTTTATTTAATTAATTAATATGTTTTAAAAATAAACTATGTCGATATTTATTGATATCTTATTCAATTAATATGTTTGTAAAATAAACTAGTACAAATCTAAGTCCATATTTTCAAATAGACAACGCTTGTAACAAAAAGTTACTCTTGGAGTATACTATACGGTAACTTAAAATATCTGAAATTTGTTCTGGTAGAACTTTCCGTTCATACCTCTGTGGCTTCGTCATAATCACATGTTGTTGCTGATGTATACTTCCAATTTTATGATAAGAACTTCTTAATATTATGATTTTTAAATCATATTCTGGGTATAATAGAGAAAATTTTAAAATGGTTCTTTTTAATAAAGTGTTCTTCCCAGATTAGTCATTAATAAGCAATAATTACCAGTATGGTCCTTTATAATTGAGACACATTTTCTAAATAGCTCTCTACCAAAAATGTCTATTAAATGATAGTCAAATAGAATATATTTTGGTATTTTCTATCATTTAGATTTAAAATATATTCTCCACATGGTCCTCTATAATTAAATATTTTTTTTCAAATTGATAATTTTCAAGTAATTGTTTTTTTGAAATGGAGTCCATGAGCCTACTCGAGGTGGGCTCATTCCTCTAGCGACCAGCCAATTAATTTGAAAGGATCATTTTGGAGCTTATTCATAATTTAGATGATAAAAAATACAAAAATACTCCAAATTTAACTTTCTTTTGATATGCATCTTTGACAGATGACTATTTAAGAAATATTTCTCAATTACAAAAGACTCTGTTGGTAATTATTGTTTATTGATGACCAATTTAAAAAAACATCATATTAGAAAAAACTATTATCAAAATTACTCACTATAATCTTCTACTACCTCCGTCCCATTGTCTTTGTCCAGTTTTGACTTTTGGAACTGTTCTTCTAAGCACTTTGACTCACCAAATTCTCTCAATGTGTAAGCCTAAAAATAGTCATGTGTGATCTTGTTTGATTCGTCTTAACATATAGATTATTAATATATAATTTTTATAATTTTTTAATATACAAATTACAAGATAAAATGGATTAAAGAAGTGCATTGGATGGTGTGCCAAAAGATAAGTGGACACAGACAGTGGGACGGAGAGAGTATATCTTATTGTCTAAATAAAAATATCGATACTATAAAAAACACAAACTTTAACATCATGTTATACTCACTAACATTATTTGATCCTCGTTAAATAAATTTTGTAATGACTTTATCTTTAAAATAAGCGGGTCACAATATTTTTTTAAATATATTTTTAAACATTTGTATATACTCCGTTCAAAACAACAAAAGAAATTTTAAAAATATAAAAGATGACAAAAATGTTTTATTTCATCGAATTATTAAAGAAACATACAAGTAAACAAAATTTTTTAAAAGACCATAACAGTAACACTGACATCTATTTTGGTACAAAAGAACTATTTTAAATTCAATGAAATTAAAATTAGAAATCAATTCTAAAAAGAAGGATGAGCCAGGGATAAATTAGATTTTAGTCTGGTGAGAGAAAATAAATATGTATGTGATACTTGTAAAGATTGCTCCGTATATGTTTAAAAGATCATAATGGTAATAACATTTATTTTGGGACCGAATAATTATTTGAAATTAAATGGCACACTTTTATATGCCTATCCACTTCACATACTGGTGGCATACATCAAAATTTTGCAGATTGAACCTCTGGCATTCTACAGAACAGAATGTCGTCTTCTTCTTCTTCTTCTTCTCTTCTTCCCATGTAAAAATATGTAAATAATCTTTGGCCCCGTATCAATATCCCACCTCCAATTGATTCACCGTCAAAACCAGGGGAACGAACAAAAACAAAATCCCCAAGAAATCAATTAAAGATCGAATTAATCCATTAGTAGCCATGGCCGTGGTCGCCGGCCGTCTGATGGAAAGGGTCAACGGCTTCTTCGGCAACAGATGGCTGGTCTTCGTCGCCGCAATGTGGGTCCAGACGTTCGCCGGGATCGGGTATCTGTTCGGGAGCATATCTCCGGCGATCAAGGCGGCTCTGGGTTACAACCAGAAACAGCTGGCGAGCCTCGGCGTGGCCAAGGATTTGGGCGACAGTGTCGGGTTCCTGGCCGGAACTCTGTCGGAGATCTTGCCGCTCTGGGCCGTTCTCCTCGTCGGCGTCGTTCAGAACTTCGTCGGCTACGGTTGGGTTTGGCTCGTCATCACCGGCCGAGCTCCAGTTCTGCCGATATGGGCTGTCAGTCTCTTCAATCCATCCCTTTTTTTTATTTTTTCATTTTCTATTCCATTCAAATTTCTGTTTCTAATGAATAATTCATCCAGCCATATTCAATAATGGATTAATTGGATCTAAAATCATAAATACAGAGTATAATAAACAGGATGAACACAAGAATTTTTCGGCCTACCATGTCGAGGGGTATTATCGTACATTTAGGGTGTTCTCGGCATCCATTGATGGAGCTTGAAGCTCTGCTGCAATTTGGTTTCTTGATTTTTGATTCAATGGCTATATGGTTCTTAATGTTAAGGGCCCATACATGTAACTAATTACTCTATTGGGAATCAAGTAATGTACAAATAAGCTTTCAAAACCAAGGCCCCGTTTGGCAAAGCATATCCTGCTCAAATGGAAATGACTTATATTGCCAAATAGGGAGTACGTTAGAAGAAAGTATCCTACCAAACAGACCCAAACAGGCCCTGTGTTTGATGGAAACTGTTGTTTTTAACATTAGTGTGTCTAAGACCTCATCTTTGTAACTTGAAAGATTAAAGTGATTCTAATTAAGTGTCTTCAAGTGTTGATCTGCAGATGTGTGCTCTCATATTCCTGGGAACAAATGGTGAGACATACTTCAACACCGCCGCACTTGTCTCATGTGTCCAAAACTTCCCGAAGAGCCGGGGCCCCGTGGTGGGGATCCTCAAGGGGTTCGCGGGGTTGAGCGGCGCGATTCTGACGCAGATATACACGCTGGTCCACTCCCCGGACCACGCCTCGCTCGTGTTCATGGTCGCGGTGGGGCCCGCCATGGTCGCCGTCGCGCTCATGTTCGTCATTCGGCCCGTCGGAGGACACAGGCAGGCCCGTGGCTCCGACGGGCTGAGTTTCGCGTTCGTTTACGCGACGTGTCTACTCCTCGCTTCGTACTTGATGGGAGTAATGCTTGTTGAGGACATGGTAATTGTGAGCAACCGAACCGTAACGGTCTTCACCGTGGTTCTCTTTGTCCTCATATTGATCCCGATCGCGATCCCGGTACACTTGACCTTTTGTAAGGACTCGAACGGTCCTCGGGGAGAAGAGCCGCCGCTTCTTCCCGAGACGCCGGAATCGGGTCCCGGGAAAGCGGGACCCGCTTTCAGGCACGAGATCATATTCAGTGAGGTCGAGGATGAGAAGCCCGCGGGAGTGGATTTGCTTCCGGATTCGGAGAGGAAGAAGAGGATGGCTCGTCTGCAGGCGAAACTAGCGCAGGCGGTGGCCGTCGGAGCGGTGCGGGTCAAGCGGCAGCGGGGACCACACCGGGGGGAGGACTTCACGTTGGTGCAGGCTTTGAAGAAGGCTGATTTTTGGCTCATATTCTTCTCCCTACTCTTTGGCTCTGGGTCTGGCTTGACAGTCATTGATAATTTGGGTCAAATGAGCCAATCTTTGGGGTATGATAACACCCATGTTTTTGTTTCTATGATCAGTATATGGAACTTCCTCGGCCGGATCGGCGGCGGTTTCTTCTCTGAGATCATTGTCAGGTATATATACACACATTTCAATGGTTTTGTTTGTTTCCAGCACTTAGCGTTTTGGATAAGTTTTTAATGAACATTTGCTGTGTTAATTCCTCAACAGGGATTATGCTTATCCAAGGCATGCATTCATGGTTGTTGCCCAAGTGATAATGGCAATTGGGCATTTCTTCTTGGCAATGGGTTGGCCCAGGGCAATGTACGTAGGCACACTACTAGTCGGGCTCGGGTACGGAGCCCATTGGGCCATTGTGCCCGCCGCCGCCTCTGAACTGTTTGGACTGAGGAATTTCGGCGCTCTGTACAATTTCCTGACTATGGCCAACCCGGGAGGCTCGTTGGTCTTCTCGGGCCTCATTGCCAGCGGGATATACGACAGAGAAGCTGAGAAACAAGCCCGAGAACGCCCGCATGCCCGACCGATGTGGAGATCGGTCTTGTCAACCGTTGTCACCACAACAGACCAATCTATGAAATGCAATGGGGCCATTTGTTTCTTCTTGACTTCCCTCATTATGTGCGGGTTTTGCGTTTTCGCGTCCATCCTCAGCATGATTCTCGTGTACCGGACAAAGTCTGTATATTATAATCTCTACGGGAAATCCCACGGATAAAAAGATTCATTCTTGAATGCGATCGAATATCCAGAGTCACATATCATTGATTTCACAATGTGATAATAACATGTGGTGATCTTATGGCGTTTTTGGTGTGCATATATATAATATAGCATCAAAAAGATCATCTACTTGTTGGGGTCTCTCAGAAGTATAATTTCAGTACAGTGTGTGCATTAGCTTAGTTTATATAGGTTTTGTGTATGTGCTCTTTGACTCTATTGAGAACTTCTGTCCGAAATTTTTTGGATGTAAATTATTTTTTCAGGAACTCTTATGCCTATATAACTGTAGTATATGATCAATCTTATAATTGTGTCCTCTTAAGCATAGTGGTAGGAAATCCTAGACAAATTGTAATTTGAATAAATTTCACAAATGACCATATATATATATATTTGGTGATATTCTATAATTAGTGAGATAAGATTTTATTGTTATTGTTATTGTTATTGTTGTACTCCATATTTAGTTCATTATTTTATAAGATTTAATTGGAAGCTTGTTTTAAATTATATTGTAGAATTTCTATTTTTAATTCTTTTTTATCAAATGTTCTCAAAATTATATAAGTATTTTGTTAATTTCACCGAACATGGAGAATGTCTACCATTCACTTTAGTGCAAATGGACTTTCTCATAATACAAACAAATTTAAAGAAAATGAATTAAATGTTTCTCTAAATATCAAATAAATATTCATCAATTACATGGTAAGATTCATGTACACATATACTACCATTTCTCCTTGTTTTAAAATTAGAATATTTTAGTGAACATAAGATATCTTAAAATAATGTCTAATACGACTAATAATGGCCAAACATTTCAAATGGTGACCAAGTAAACACTAATGGACGTAATGGTCGTGGTCCGACAATGGTGCATGACACGCCATGATGATGGCCGGTGCTTCGAATATTTATTGCTAATGGTGACCAAGAAAATACTTAGTATATATTTTAAATAACATTAATATACTTTCTTGAGTTTATTTATTGCAAAATAATTTAAAGTTCATAATATATTGTTATGAGCTTTAAAAGAATGTTGAAAAATTAAAAGTAAATAATTAGAATTTGTTTTTTTGTAAGAATTATATATTCATTTCTTTAGAAGGGAAGAGTAATAAAGAAAATGTAAACTTCTTTGTGGCACGAAATGTAAACTTCTACTCCCTCTATTCTTTTCAACTATCCATTTTTTTTTGTACGAAATGTCTGACAAACAATATCTTTTAAAGTATAAGTAAAAAGAATACTCCATATCAATAATGAATAACATTCATAAAAAGTTATCTCAACTAATGTGTCAACTGTCAAGTGTCAACTAAATGTTCAGTAAGACCGTTAAAATAAACTTTATTAGATGGACTAACTTGATTCAAATTTTTTAGCTGCATAGTTGAATTTAACTCAACACAACATACAAAGTGTAAGAGATCAAAGTGACTCACGAGTGCACTTAGATAGACCAAAATGAGTACGAGTATTGTCGAGTTAAAGTTGTTTTAGCATTGCTCATAGATGAAAGACCATGTTTCCAGTAGATCTTACAGAAACCATTTACAAACAGAAACAAATGGGTACAAAAGTACATTAATACTAGACAATCTTTTAACAGTAGTAGATGGGTTGTTTGTCCCAAAGGTTTTTAAACTGCTGGAGCAAGAGCCGCCACTTGCGGTGGAATGTTAATGATATCTTTTCCTTCCATCCGTGCCTTTCGGCGCTCCCTTTGTAACCTGAAAGCCTCCCTCTTCCGTACTCTGTAGCTGTTCGGGTTCTCGGGCTGCGCTATGCGCGGGTACACACTAATCTGTATAACCAACGTTTTGTTAATTATATACCCTATCTGTTCCCAATACAACTTGACGGTTTCACTTCACAGAGCTCAAGAAAAACGTTAAAAAAGTGAAGTGTGGTTGAAATTTAGCACTCCCTACTTTAAAGAATAGAGAAATGACAACGAAAGTGAAAAGTTGCTTTAAAAATGGAACAAGTATTAAAAGAGGGAATATTCCACATTTTGTCTAAAGGTTAGAGATTGTTTCCCACTCTCGGCCGGGAGCACGTAAAAATTGACTGAAAAATGTATGGGAATAGGATGGATTGGTGACCAAAAGTGCCAAAACTGGTAAAACCCACTTAGAGTTACCCCAAAAGTGGGAAAATTGAATCTGGGTAATGAAGGTGAAAAACACCTAATAGTCACTAGACCTCAAGTGTCATGTATTTTTATGAAAACAGTGCTAAGTTTAAACCATAAGTTGCAAGAAGAACTCAAACCTTTTTCCTATCTGGGCCAAACTTCTCGAATTTGACCAGTCCATCTATCAAGGAAAAGATTGTATGATCCTTGCCGAGTCCAACATTCTTCCCTGGATGGAACTAACTCACACACACAAAAAAAGGGAAAATTAAAAGGTTAAGAGATACCCAAACAAGTCTTAGCCTCAGCTGATATATGCATAAGCAAGGATTTCACATAATCAACAACAAAAACAAATTAAGAACATTTCCAACTCTTCTTGGGGTCTGAGTGATCATGTTGTACAAAATTGTTAGGCTTGGTAAAAAGTGGCTAGAGAAATGAAAGCCTTAAAATTTACGGTTCAATTTTATGATCCAACCAGAATATGAGAAAACTGGAAAAACATTAGACAAAACTTTTATGTATGAAATAAAAAAAATTGTATTCCAAGTCTTAACTAAAAACCCATACGGGGTATTTTTTCAATTCAGTTCCATATCATAAAGCTGGAACTAAATTTACTCTCATACTTCACTTTAAGTTCGATTCCACACATTTCAGTTCAAATTATTCAATTAATTTTAGTGTCGGAAAAGTTATCGATTCCAGAACTCAAACAATGAAATACTTCAGTCTAATAGGGAAAGTATGACCATTGATGGTCTTCCAATTGCATAAATGAGTGAACAGATGATTTTTTTTCTCAAATATACTCCTTAAGGTCTGCGTATACAAACTTTCCTCAAGGCCTACTTTTTTTTCTAGAACTTTACTGGGTTTAGTTGTTGTATGCCCAGTAATCAAGTAATCCTTCACTTACTGTACAAACAAAAGCAAACAGAGTAATGATTTTCATTTCAATTCTGTGAAAAAAAAAACTACTGAGGAAAAGAACCCTAAATCTCAATTGAGGTTTTAGGCAGCTGATCAGATGAACTCCCAGAAGGTGAATCCTGTAGCAATAATTATAAAATTGGGTGGCAATGGGAGGAAGAGAGCTAGAAACCTACCTTGGTTCCTCTCTGGCGGACAATTATACCGCCGGACTTTACTGCTTGATCACCGAAAATCTTGACGCCGAGCCTCTGTCCAGGTGAATCCCGGCCGTTCTTCGTACTTCCGGCGCCTTTTTTGTGCGCAGATCTGATTGTCAACGGGACCTTAGATTTCAAGGGAAAAGCGACGGATGACGGACGCCGGGCGACGTGGACCGAGCCAAAGTCGCCGCCACCTCGGAGGAAAGAGGAAGATGCGCTGGGAGCTAAGGATAACCCCTTGAAAGCTCCTACTAAGCTGAAACTAACGGCCATCGCCGCCGCCATCCGCCGGCGTTGGGTTTCGAGAGGTTGCGCTGGTGGCTGGAAGGGAACCGCCGATTTCAAAAAATAAAAAACTTTATCTGCTAAAATCCTGAGGCTAAAAAGCAAGAAACTTTGGAGGTGTGGCAATAGGATTTTGAAGTAATATAGGGGCTAAAAGAGGAATTGGCTTTGTTTTGGGGGGAGAAATAGAATGCGACAAGATTATTGTGGTTAAAAACTAATGTGCAAAAAAGAGGAAAACGTGATTGTGGAGTGTGGGATTCGAACCCACGCCCTTTCGGACCAGAACCTTAATCTGGCGCCTTAGACCGACTCGGCCAACTCCACATGTTGATAAGGGATTCGTTCAGGATTTATATATCTAAAATTCGCACTAAATAGGATTAAAACATAGAGTAATAACTTTTCTAATGTAGGATTTAAACTTTTTTATTTTCTAAATAGGAGTTAATAATAACCTTGTGCGAGGAATAATGTCCAGTAATGATAGACATTTCTTTGAATAATGACTACTTGATAATGACCAAAAGTCCTACATTGAGAAATAAAAACTATGATCATATATTGAAAAAGTCATTATGTTTTAATCCTATTTAGGTAAATTACTCTATATATATCTGTTAAACACAACTGATTCAAGCAATCATCATTCTAAACTGTTTACGTAATACATATATATTACTTCCCCTGTGCCAAAACGTGTTAAAAAGGACTTAGATACATATGTTTTGATCTTGGTTTGTAGCAAAACCAATAACGAATCATACCAAAGTGATAATTCTAGGTTGTGAACAATGCGGTATAACTTTCATATTTAATCAATTTTTTTTGTAAAATATCAATACGAGTTAAATATTGTATCATACTCTATTTTATTCACCCCTTAGAATACCAACCCACTCCAAAATCCCGAAATTTAATTTCCACCTTTTTTGAACATTTCACAATAATTAGGTGTTCAATTCCAAATTTCCAATCAAGTATGGGATTTGAAAGTTCATATTTCACACTCTCTCTATCCTATTGAATAAAATTCATTTTTTTCATCTGCTCCAAATTTCACTCGTTTATTTCATCAATTTTGTCATCCTATGACATTGAAAACGAATGAGCATGCACCTGGAGAGAAATGATTCGAATGAGAACACACTGAGGATATGAAGGACAGGAAGAAAAACAAAAGCAGTTGGGTCTCATGTGGGATGTGTGAGTTGAAGATATCCTCCATTTGAACTTATTTCTCAAATTCAATTCAAGAACTGAAGTGTCATTTTTCCACAGCAAGAAATACAATGCAATTGAAAATCTTGAATGTAATTTTGATTGAAGGTGAAATCTTGTTCCACTTTAAACTCATGATCATTTCTGACCATCTCCAAAGCAATAGGTAGAAAGGAAACCAATACAGTTATACTGATAATGATAGTTTACAATGTAGAGCTAACTTGAAGACTCAAAAGTCCACCCCATTGATGTTAAGATCTACTGTATTTGGAACTTGGAAAATGCCAGGAAAAGCGAAAGAAAGATCAAAGCACTAACTTATTTCAGAAAATCAAATCCTACTTAAAACTTACAGTACAGTATATAAGCAACAATTCCAGATAAAATCCAGATTTTGACAGAAACAAGAAAGATTACAGCCCCTGAACAGTGTCATAGGACCTTTCTTACATCCACTTGATCACATCAACTTACAAGAAACAGAGAAAGCAACTAAAAGGGTGTGAATCACAAATTAGAAATCCTCATCCAACTTGAATACATGGGCATCAAATCCATTACCATTCAAGCTGGACATGACAGAGGCCTTCTGGTACTCTCCAACCCTCTTCTCAAAGAAATTGGTCTTCCCCTGTAAGCTGATGAGCTCCATCCAATCAAATGGGTTTTGGACATTGTAAAGTTTACTGCAACCCAATGCACCCAGCAGCCTATCGGCCACAAACTCTATGTATTGGCTCATGAGATTCCCATTCATGCCTACAAGAGCACAAGGGAGCGCATCACAGACAAATTCTCTCTCAATCTCAACCGCATCTGCAATGATCGCCTTCACACGTTCCTCACTCAGCTTCCTCTTCAGCAATCCGTAGAGCATGCAAGCGAAATCGCAGTGCAAGCCCTCGTCACGAGAGATCAGTTCATTTGAGAAGGCCAATCCGGGCATTAACCCACGCTTTTTGAGCCAGAAAATGGCACAGAAGCTTCCGGAGAAGAAGATCCCCTCAACACAAGCAAACGCCAGAAGCCGCTCGGAGAATGATTCAGATCCGTCGATCCACCGCAGGGCCCACTTGGCCTTCTTCTCCACACACGGAATGGTGTCAATCGCGTGAAAAAGCCTGTCCTTCTCGGCGGAATCCTTGATGTAGGTCTCCAACAGAAGACTATACATCTCGGAGTGGATATTCTCAATGGCGATCTGGAATCCGTAGAAAGCGCGCGCCTCCGCGACCTGGACCTCTTTCATGAACCGTCCGGCGAGATTCTCAAGGACGATTCCATCGGATGCGGCGAAGAAGGCAAGCACGTGCTTCACGAAGTGCTGCTCGTCGGCGGTGAGGGCTTCCCACTGGCGGACGTCCTGGGAGAGATCGACCTCCTCGGCGGTCCAGAAGGACGCCATGGCCTTCTTGTACATCTCCCAGATTTGGGGATACTGGATGGGGAACATGCAGAATCGATCCGGATTCGGGGCGAGGAGGGGCTCTTCGGGAATCGAAGGCATATTTTTTTCTTCGGAGAATTCGGCTATGGAGTTTCTAGGGTTTTGGGGTGAAGAAGAAATGAGAAAATGAGATGACAGAGGGAAGGGCAGGGGCGGTTTTTTATATAGGTGAGATTTGGGGGGTAAAAATGGGAGAGAGCGGGGAATTTGAAATTTGGGTTAGAAGCTTGCGGGAGAATGAACGCATTTTTTAAATATTTGGGGGATTTTAAATTTAAATTATTTTATCATCTCCCGCCTACGTCAAGATGGCGCCTTGTGAATCGTGACATGTAAGATTCCCATCATTTTCTATAAAAAAATGTTAGGGTACACCAAAAATATATCCTATATGTCCCACACCCCCTTCTTGTCCACTAAAAAAGGTAAAAAAAATTAAAAAAAAATAAGTAAATAACAATATGTAGTGGAAAAGGGGGTGGTGTATCCCTAGCATTACTCTTTTCTATAAGTATAACAATAATATACTCCCTCCCTATTCTGATAACAAAATGAGAATTATAATATAAAATTATATGATTTTTAAATAATTTTATTTATTAATTAGTATATTAATATGAAATAAAAATTACTTATCAAAAAACTACGTCCAAATATTTTATTTTATCAAATAATCAATGAGAATACACAAATTAAAAAAAAAGTTATCAAGAAAAAAGAAAATAAAATTGTAATCAAAAGAGGAACGGAGAAGTATTAAATATTTACTCTTTTTCTTTCCAAAATACAGTATATTTTTCCTTGAGAAATGACTACAAGATTTACATTAAAAAATCATCTAACATAGGAGTATAAGAGAACTTTTATTTTCAAAATAAAAGTTTCATGTTTTTTCATTAAAATAAAAGTTTATACTGTTATAATGTGACACTGTATATAATGTTTACTTTTATTTTATCATTTTTGCTTTCACATTGTTACTTTTTCAGATTTCAACATAATACTTTTAAATAATCGTGTCCCGTTAAATGTGAAATTATATTTTATGTTATTGTCCAAATAGAGAATTAAGACGTCTTTTTTACTTATTTTATTTATATTGATTATATATTAAAAATGCTAGCCATAATTTTGTACGGAGTAAAACATTTAATGTAGATTTAAAACATTTATATTCATTATATATTAAAAAAATTTCACTTTTTAAAATTATCTTAACTCTAATAATGTTAAATTGTAAACAAATTTATGATGAAAGAAACCTGCAAATAAATTTTATATCTTAACTCTATATTACACAGTAATTATTCGTAAAAAATTGAATGAAAAATGATTGATTGTAATATTGTACTCGTAAATCGATATTTAAAGTTTTTTTTACAATGGATATAGGTTTTTTATAGTACAATTGTACAGAGAATAAAAAAGAAAATCTAAAACTATTGGAGTTTTATTTTTTTATGTGATTGTTCTCTCTTTTTTTTTACCCGAGTACAATTTTTTATGTGATTGATTGATCACATTAAGGAACATGTGTGAAGGAAGCGAAAACAAAATAGAGTGTGTGATGGCTAGATAACACATGTGTGCCTGTGTAGACCGTCAAGTTCCTACACTCTCTTGGCCGGTCCACTTTTTTAATTTTGATAGTAAAAAATTTACTCGTATTTGACTAAATTTATACTTAAAAATAAAAATTACATCATTTTTAAAAGTTGCTTCGTATATTCTAAGGAGTATAATTATATGATTTGATTATGTAAATAGTACTCCGTAATACGAAATTATTTTGTGAGAGGAAAGAAATAGCCTCTACTGAAATAAGTATAAATAGCATCTCTAAAGTTTCCACAACCCGTTGTACAAGCATTTGAAAAGAAAAAAAATGAGTCAAAAACTTAAAAGATGTACTCCGTATTTTGGTTAGAAAAAAAAGCATTTTCCAACCATATTTTTTGTTGATTGGTACTCCGTAGAAAATAAAATGTTTCTTCTTAAAAAATTAGTTTATATTGTTAATATTTAAAAATTAATACTAAGTATTAAAAACATGTTTTAAAACAAAATAATACTTCTTTGGTCCCAATTTAAATTATCTATTTGATTTAGAATGTTTGAGTGCAGTTATTTTCAAATCATTTTATATGAAAAATTATATTTAAAAAATACATCAACAGATCAACAAAACTAGTAATAGCATCGCTGTGTTATTTTATAAAATGACTAACGACAATAGGTAAAAAAAAAGTGTAAAATTTAACCATTTGAATTAATAAATATGCAATTACTTTGAGATTAAAAAAAAGTACGGAGTAATATTTTAGTAGCATAGAAGCATGGGGTGGGAAGGATTGACGAGGGACGAAGAGTGGGGATAGCGGCTTGGGGTGGGTAGGCTGAGGTTGGATGATAGGGGAGGAACAAAGGGAGGGTTGGAAGGTGAGGAGTGGGAATGGACAAGAATGGTAGTGTATGTAGGGACGAGGTAGGGAAGGTGGGTTGTATGGGTGGGGTGGGGTGGGAGGGGTATGTGGATGGACAGGGTCGGGGAAGAGGCATCAATGTCAAAATATGTTCTCGTAAATATTGCAAACTCACGGTCCGATGTTTACAAGCTCACATCCAAACTAAGTTTCGGTGGCGACAAACATTAATTATGTCTTGAAATATTTGGTTTTCTTGAGATGACACAACTCTCTATATATGAATCACGAGATTGAAAATGTACTGCGTAGTAGATTATGAAGTAGCTAAACTGTGATGACAGACTAGGGTTGTGAGGGAGGGGGGGGGACAAATAATTTGGCATACAAAACATAGAGCAAGTCATGCAACTTATCAAAAGCTATATGATAATGTAATAAGGTTCTTAAAATGTGAACTAATTATTCAAATTTTAACATAACAAAAAAGAGGGGAAATCCGTGTGTTCTAGCCACTCTTCCAAAGGGTCTCATAAGAAGTCAAGAAAAGGTCAAATGCACCACCAAACATGAGGAATTTTTTTACCAGGCTCCAGCAAGTAGCATGTAGCTGGGGGGGATAATGAAAGCTTTATCTTGGTTGAGGAGGAGGAAGAGGAGGCTGAGATTTTGCGAACCCCACCCACGCAACAATGCCAATAGCAAGAATGACCCACCCACATATGTCATACTTCAGATCACTGCTCTTCTTGTTCTTTAAGTTCTGCTGCTGATTCAAAAAATTATAATGAAAAAAGAAACATTTAGTACGCACAAGCAGAGCATATCGTTTCTGCAACGAGGGTCATTGGCCACTAGTTCTTTTTCAAGTAAAGAGATGGGGTGTGGTGGTTTTGGTTTGCATTTGTTAAAAATGGGTGGAAAAAAAGTGGTTCTGAATTACCATAGAAATATCAATTATGGGTAGGGTGATATCCAGGATTACCCTACTCATTAAGGCTATTTAAAAAAAACCCAAATAGATGGACAGAGTGACTTTAATTATGAAATCATCAAAATCAGCTCCACAAATGCAAACCAAATACACCCATAGAATGACAAAAGGGTAGCAGACAGTCCAATAGCATTCCCTTGGACAATTAATTGACATTTTGAATCCCATGATACCCATGGCCTACCCCAACTAGTTGGGACCAATTAGAGAGGAAAAGAAAAGAAAAGTGGAAAGAAAAAAATGTACGAAAAAATAAACTAAGAAGGAAAAGCTCTTTCTTTTCCTTCCCTTTCAAATTCCACGAACCAAACATAGTGTTAAGAATATGTTGAGTGTGCATGTAGTTTGCAAATATTGTTATACTTTTATGGCTTTAAGGACATTGAAGTGAGAGACACTAAAGCAGTATAATCAAATGGCATAGTCCAAATAGTACAACAACGACAACCCAATTGAATCCCACCATAGTAGGGTCTCGGGGGTGTGTACACAAACCTTAGCCATACTTGAAAGTAGAGAGGCTCTTTCCAAGAGACCTTAGCTCGAGTAACACCAACAGCAAATGGTACAAATCTATTAAAATATCAGAAATCTACTCCCTTGGTCAGAGAAAGTCTTTTGTGTTGCGGGTTATGATATTTTAATTTGTATTTATTTGAAAATTGGTATGGAGTTAAAAAAGATAGAATTTCCTCTGTATAGTTCTACAAAACAAGGCGTAGCAAGACTACTATTTTACTCCGTATCAAATAAGTAATGAAAATGGACAAAGAAAGCAGTTAATGTTAGACACTGTGAGCAGTTTGTTTTTGGGACGGGGGTGGTAATACCCTTGTAGTTGAAGAAGACGTAGAAGGTCCCGCCCCCATAGCTTGTTGCATTGCGCCCTGCTTGTGGATTTCCGCGTGCAATTCTGGAGCCTAAATAAAAAAAATTGTCACGTAAGCCAACTCCACATTGTTTGGGGTGTGTGGTCAAACTCTACATATCAATTGTTGACTTATACTAAAATTTAAGCTAAGTAAAAAGCCCATATGTTGCTTGCATTTCAAATGGACGCTATGTTTGTCAAAAGTAAAACATAATCTGTATGAACGATTGCCTTGTGCAAAAACTAAAAGAAATCAAACATTTATTCTCCTGTGTTTCATTAACTTTGAAAACAAAATTAAAATGATTCCAAAAACCCAATGTAAGTAAATTCTTCATAGGTGTGGAGAAAGTGGGAAACAGAACCCTTTCAGACCAGGACGAAACTAAAAGAGAATAAATGGCTTATAATGACAATCCGGAGCATCCCTACACAGAAAAAGATAATAAATTTAAAAATTCTCATGACCATTTAATGTGGTAGGGGTCTGTGTTTGCAACTTTAAAACTAGGATGATTCCATTGAACAGCATTTAAGCAAAGCTGAAGCATGTTAACTTGCTCTTTGAACAATAACAGTGAAGCTTCTTTTTGAAATTAAAAAAGTTTTATCTATGAAATAATGTCAATAAGAAAATATGAAAATCAAACTTTCCCTCTCTTAAGTTTGCAAAATTGTGGGGGAAAAAGAAAGAAAAAAGAATCTCTCAGTTTGCAGAATTCTGAAGAGGAAAAATCTTTAGCAAATGGTCAATGGTGAATGCAAGTGAATTTGTCAAAGATGAACAAATAAAAGAGCATTCCTAGTAAGAGTATCTTAAATTCTTAATACAAAAGGTACATTGAACAAAAAAAAGATAAGTGAAAACTTCGACCTTGAAGGAACAGCAAGTGCATACATCTAAGTTCTAACAAGTACTACATAAGAACTAGCAAGTCTGTAATTGACTAAACAATGATGCAGGATGTCATACCCTAGCAGCAACTTCCAAAGATTTACAGTAAAGTTCATTCCC